TAAGCAAAGGAGAAATAAAATCCTTTACAAACAAGCAAGTACTCAGAGATTTCATCACCACCAGGCCTGCTTTACAAGAGCTCCTGAAAGAAGCACTAAACATAGAAAGGAATAACCAGTACCAGCCACTCCAAAAACATACCAAATGGTAAACAGCATTGACACAATTAAGAAACTGCATCAACTAATGGGCAAAACAGCCAGCTAGAATCAAAATGGCAGGATCAAATTCACACATAACAATATTAAACCTAAATGGAAATGGGTTAAACACCCCAATCAAGAGACAGACTGGCAAATTGGATAAAAAGCCAAAACCCATCAGTGTGCTGTATACAGGAAACCCATCTCACATGCAAGGATACACAAAGGCTCAAAATAAAGGGATGGAGGAAGATTTACCAAGCAAATGGAGAACAAAAAAAAAAAAAGTAGGAGTTGCAATTCTCGTCTCTGATAAAATAGACTTTAAACCAACAAAGATCAAAAGAGACAAAGAAGGACATTAAATAATGGTAAAAGGATCAATGCAACAAGAAGAGCTAACAATCCTAAATATATACGCACCCAATACAGAAGTACCCAGATACATAAAGCAAGTTCTTAATGACTTACAAAGAGACAGACTCACACAGTAATAGTGGGAGACTTTAACACCCCATTGTCAATATTAGACAGATCAACGGGACAGAAAATTAACAAGGATATCCAGGACTTAAACTCAGACCTGGACCAAGCAAACCTAATAGACATTTACAGAACTCTCCACCCCAAATCCACAGAATATACATTGTTCTCAGCACCACATCCCACCTAGTCTAAAATTGACCACATAATTGAAAGTAAATCACTCCTCAGCAAATGCAAAAGAACGAAAATCATAACAAACAGTCTCTTAGACCACAGTGCAATCAAGTTAGAACTCAGAATTGAGAAACTAACTCAGAACTGCACAGCTCCATGGAAACTGAACAACTGGCTCTTGAATGCTCATGGTTAGGAAGAATCAGTATTGTGAAAATGGCCATACTACCCAAAGTAATATACGGATTCAACGCTGTCCCCATCAAGCTACCAATGACCTTCTTCACAGAACTGGAAAAAACCACCTTGAACTTCATATGGAACCAAAAGAGAGCCCCCATAGCCAAATCAATTCTAAGCAAAAAGAACAAAGCTGGAGGCATTAAACTACCGGACTTCAAACTATACTACAAGGCTACAGTAATCAAAACAGCACAGTACTGGTACCAAAACAGAGATATAGACCAATGGAACAGAACAGAGGCCTCAGAGGCAAAACCACACAACTACAACCATCTGATCTTTGACAAACCTGACAAAAACAAGCAATGGGGAAAGGATTCCCTGTTTAATAAGTGGTGTTGGAAAAACTGGCTAGCACGTGCAGAAAGCAGAAACTGGACCCATTCCTGATACCTTACACTAAAATTAACTCCAGATGGATTAAAGACTTAAACATAAGACCTAACACCATAAAAACCCGAAGAAAATCTAGGCAAAACCATTCAGGACATAGGTTTAGGCAAGGACTTCATGACCAAAACACAAAAAGCATTGGCAACAAAAGCCAAAATAGACAAATGGGACCTAATCAAACTCCACAGCTTCTGCTCAGCAAAAGAAACAGTCATTAGAGTGAATCGGCAACCAATAGAATGGGAAAAAATTTTTGCAATCTACCCATCTGACAAAGGGCTAATATCCAGAATCTACAAAGAACTAAAACAGATTTACAAGAAAAAAACAAACAAGCCCATTCAAAAGTGGGTGAAGGATATGAACAGACACTTTACAAAAGAAGACATAAACGAGGTCAACAAACATATGAAAAAATGCTCATCATCACTGGTCTTTAGAGGAATGCAAATCAAAACTACATTGAGATACGATCTCACACCAGTTAGAATGACCATCATTAAAAAATCTGGAGACAGGTGCTGGAGAGGATGTGGTGAAATAGGAACACTTTTACACTGTTGGTGGGAGTGTCAATTAGTTCAACCATTGTGGAAAACAGTGTGGTGATTCCTCAAGGACCTAGAAATAGAAATTCCATTTGACCCAGCATTCCCATTACTGGGTATATATCCAAAGGATTATAAATCATATTACTATAAGGACACATGCACACGAATGTTCACTGCAGCACTGTTTACAATAGCAAAGACCTGGAACCAACCGAAATGCCCATCAATAATAGACTGGACAGGGAAAATGTGGCACATATATACCATGGAATACTATGCAGCCATAAAAAACGATGAGTTCGTGTCCTTTGTAGGGACATGGATCAACCTGGAAACCATCATTCGCAGCAAACTGACACAAGAACAGATAATCAAACACTGCATGTTCTCACTCATAGGTGGGTGTTGAACAGTGAGAACACATGGACACAGGGAGGGGAGCATCACACACTGGGGTCTGTCAGGGGGAAACAGGGGAAGGACAGCGGTGGGTAGGGAGTTGGGGAGAGACAGCATGGGGAGAAATGCCAGATATAGGTGACGGGAAGGAAGGCAGCAAATCACGCTGCCATGTGTGTACCTATGCAACAATCTGGCATGTTCTTCACATGTACCCCAAAACCTAAAATGCAATAAAAAAAATTCAATCACTAGTAATTAATTGCATTTATTTTGCCCTTGCTCTTTAATTAAAACGATGTCCAAAGTCCTTTTAATGACAATGTGTATTACAATGATACTAAAATTTCTTACCAAAGTCCAAAGAACTGGTTTTCTGCATCACTCTTTTGGGTAAAAGTGAATTATCACCAGAGCAGTAAATAAAATACATTCACATTAATCCTCAAGTGACTTCTAGTATACGGGAGCACTGAAAAGGTCACATTCATAGAATTGATTTAAAGGCAACCTCTTTAAACAGCAATGATTTAAAAATAATTCTAAATTACTCTAAATTATTTCTGGCTAGGCAATCAATACAGGAAAGAGAAAAGGCCTTGATCTTCTGCTAGTTTGTGTCTTGTGAAAGAATTAATTTTTTTAGGCTGGGCGTGGTGGCTCAAGCCTGTAATCCTAGCACTTTGGGAGGCCGAGGCGGGTGGATCATGAGGTCAAGAGATCGAGACCATCCTGGTCAACATGGTGAAACCCCGTCTCTACTAAAAGTACAAAACATTAGCTGGGCATGGTGGCGCATGCCTGTAATCCCAGCTATTCAGGAGGCTGAGGCAGGAGAATTGCCTGAACCCAGGAGGCGGAGGTTGCGGTGAGCTGAGATCGCGCCATTGCACTCCAGCCTGGGTAACAAGAGTGAACAAGAGCGAAACTCCGTCTCAAAAAAAAAAAAAAAAAAGAATTAATTTTTTTAATTCAGAAAATATCTATTGGCTGACACCACAGAAATCTTGTAAATTATAATAAAAGGGAAATTTTAAGTTTCTGAAACCTGCTGCTGTTTCTACTGTAAGCTACTGCTTATCAAACATTTTGTTCAGCCTGGGGCTCCGTACTAAGTGGTTTTCATGGGGTGTTTTTGTTGTTTTTGTTGTTGTTGTTTCTTTGAAGGAGTTTCGCTCTTGTTGCACAGGCTGGAGTGCAGCGGTGCGATGTCAGCTCACTGCAACCTCCACCTCCCAGGTTCAGGCGATTCTCCTGCCTCAGCCTCCCGAGTAGCTGGGATTCACAGGCATGCACCGCCACGCCCGGCTAATTTTGCATTTTTAGTAGAGATGGGGTTGCACCATGCTGGCCAGGCTTGTCTCTCGACCTCAGGTGATCTGCCCACCTCGGCCTCCCAAAGTGCTGGGATTACAGGCGTGAGCCACCGCGCCCGGATTTTATTTATTTATTTAACAGCAACAACGTCTCGCTGTGTCCCAGGCGGGGGTGCAGTTGCGTGATCTCGGCTCACTGCAGCCCGGAACGCCTGGGCTCAGGCGGTTTTCCCACGTCATCCTCCGAGTGCTGGGAGCAGAGGTGAACGTCACCTCGCACGGCCGTGTTACTGCTTTCCGAGCAGATGGAGGAGGTGCGCCCCGACCCCCAGTTCTGGGAAACAGACCTCTCCAGTTACCTACTGTTTCCTCTTCACGTAGGAAGAGTGCATATAACAGTAAGACACAACTGTTTGGTATTATTATAAGTAAATAGTTCATGCCAAGGTTTATAGAGAGCGTCACAGGCTAAAACTAGGCTGGCTGCACTTCGAAGAATCGCCGCTCAAGTTCTGGAAAAAAGAGGTAACCCTGAACACGGTGAAGGTAATCGATGCGTCTGAAACACACACTTAAACTGGTTAAAGTGGCCTATTTCATCCGGCATATATTACCACCATTTTTAGAAACGTCCTTTGGCAGGTGAAGAAAAGCAAGCTCCAGGAGGCCCTGGCTCGCGAGCCCACGCCCATTAACCTACCCGTCCCCCGACCCCGGGCTGCGTCTCCCTTCTCAATTTCAGTCGCCCCACTGGTAGAAATGAGGTGCCCGTCTGAGACGATCTTTAGACGACTTTCCGGCTCCACAGTTGTGCAGCCTGGAGCCGGGAGAGCTCCTCTGGGGGCCAGGGGCCGGCCGCCGCCGCCCGCGGGGCGCAGGGGCCGCAGCACGCGTGCGCAGTGGGCACCGGGAGCGCCGCGTCCCCAACGCCGCTGCCGGCCCTCCCCGCGCCACGCCCGCCCCCAGGCCCTGAGGGAGACGCTGAGCGTGAGCGAGCTGCAGGCTCGGCTGACCTTTGGCCCCTCGGCCGGCGCCCTACATTAAGATGCCAGGCAGAGCCTATCAATGTGAATGCACCGTTGCAGGCAGTGCAAACAGGCTCAGCACAGAGGCAGCAGCAGCAGGAGACCTAGAGACTTCCCAGCTCTGTCTTCCTCCTACCTCTGCTCCTAATTCCCTTCTTCTCTGGGCCTCAGATTCTTTTTCTTTTCCATAAGTGGATTTTCTTTTCCACGAGCTCCCCGCGCCTCCCCGCCTCCCAGGCTCCGGCTCTGGTTCCAAGACCTCAGCGCCGAGCGGCGGAGGCGGGGAGGACTCTCCCAGCGTGCCGCCGCGGGGCCTCCTACTCGTCCGGACTCGGCCCGCCCCGAGGGGCGTGAGGAGGGGAGGGGCTGCGGACTTAGGACTCTGGCCCGGAGCTGGAGCCCGCAACCCGCTCAGGCGGCGACGGAGCCATGTCGGCGCTGCTGGGGCTCCGGCCCGAGCTTCAGGACACCTGCACCTCGCTGGGACTGATGCTGTCGGTCGTGCTGCTCGTGGGGCTGGCCCGCGTGGTCGCCCAGCAGCAGCTGCACAGGCCAGTGGCCCACGCTTTCGTGCTGGAGTTTCTAGCTACCTTCCAGCTCTGCTGCTGCACCCACGAGCTGCAGCTGCTGAGCGAGCAGCATCCTGCGCACCCAGCCTGGACGCTGACGCTCGTCTACTTCTTCTCGCTGGTGCATGGCCTGACCCTGGTGGGCACGTTCAGCAACCCGTGCGGCGTGATGATGCAGATGATGCTGGGGGGCTTGTCCCCCGAATCGGGTGCGGTGAGGCTGTTGGCTCAGCTGGTTAGTGCCCTGTGCAGCAGGTACTGCACAGGCGCCCTCTGGAGCTTGGGTCTGACCCAGTATCACGTCAGCGAGAGGAGCTTCGCTTGCAAGAATCCCATCCAAGTCGACTTGTCCAAAGCGGTCATCACAGAGGCCGTCTGCTCCTTTCTCTTCCACAGCGCTCTGCTGCACTTCCAGGAGGTCCGCGCCAAGCTTCGTATCCACCTGCTGGCTGCGCTCATCACCTTTTTGGTCTATGCAGGTTTGTCATTCCCACCAAACACTTGGCACTTCTAGAGCCTCTATGACATGAGGCTCTAAGTGATTTACTGAAATACATTTGAAACCTCCCACCCCGCTGTGCTGTAAATGCTCGTATCCCTTTATTCTAACCACTTTGCAGCCCATCATTCTTAACCAATAGGGCCGACACTTAGAGCCTTCATGCAGTGCTTTCCTTGAACACCCCGAGAAGGGAGCCACCTGTGTGCTGAAACTGAGATGTTGTGAGATACTGCCAAGGGTTCAGATATCCTACAAAGGGATTGTTTTAATCGTAGAAAGGAAAGATAACATTTAACTGCCCCTTTCTTCATGCCAAGGTGGTATAGATCTTTTCTGATACTCTTACTGAAAAATGATCCTGGCTTTACAAAGTTCCTTTCGATTCAAAGCACAAAGCACATGACTGTTCAGCATAAGAGCAGAGAGTAGAAATTTTGTAGTTCCATTTTAGTCCTATAAATTACTTAAAGTCATATCTTATTTCCTTAATCATTTTGAGTTATGAAATTTCTTATTACCTTAATAATTCATTTTAAGTTATACATGAACTTTTAAATGACCTATCAAGAAAAATGTGTTTAAATGAAAACTTGCTTCAAATTAAAGATGCTTTTTAAAATATAACTCTTGAGAAATCTGTTGATTCCTTTTAAAACATCTGTTTACTTTGACAGATCTCAGATGCAGTGGGAAATCTAGTCCTAAATGGGAGGAAGAAATCCAAAACACAAGAATTTAATGATGAAATGTGTCATTTTAAATTATTACAACAGAATATCTTTATTGGGACTACATTCTAAATTATAAAACACTGGAGGCAGAAATAACAACAAAGGAAATTTGTGGTAATAGTTATCTTCTGCCCATTAAAAGTGAAACCATGACTAGAAGTAAACTTCAAGATAAGGACTCCTAAATGTGTACTTGACCTTCTAGGGTAAAAATGAAAGCCTTCCCAATCAATTTACCCTTCTTTTGGTCTAGTACCACTTTTTAAGTAGACATAAATAGAAATAAGTGGTATAGGAGAATGAAGGAGACTGTGTGTGCTGGCTCATACCTGTTATCCCAGAACTTTGAGAGGCTGAGGTGGGCGGATTGCTTGAGCCCAGAAGTTTGAGACTAGCCTGGGCAACACAGAGAAATCAAAGCTCTACAAAAAATGCAAAAATTATCTGAGTGTGGTGGTGCACACCTGTAGTCCCAGATACTTGGGAGGCTAAGGTGGGAGGATCACCTGAGTCCAGGAGATTGAGGCAGTGGTGAGCTGTGATAGTGCCACTGTACTCCAGCCTAGGTGATAGAGACCCTGTCTGTCTCAAAAGAAAAAAAAAGGCCAGGGATGGTGGCACACGCCTTTGGGAGGCCAAGGCAGGTGGATTGCCTGGGGTCAGGAGTTCAAGACCAGCCTGGCCAACATGGTGAAACCCCATCTCTACTAAAAATACAAAAATTAGCCAGGCATGGTGGCACACACCTGTAATCCCAGCTACTTGGGAGGCTGAGGCAGGAAAATAGCTTGAACCCAGGAGGCGGAGGTTGCAGTGAGCTAAGATTGCATCACTGCACTCCAGCCTGGGCGACACAGCAAGACTCTGTCTCAAAACAGAAACAAAGAGAGTGACAGATACAGGCATATTTGAGGGATTGGTGAATAGCTACTTATTTATTGAAGTTTTAGATTTTAGCAAAAGCAGAAACATCCCCTGTATATTAACAGAATTTTCCCTGCAAAAAAGAGTTATGCCATGGTTTAGCTCTGTATTTCCACAATTAAAAACAGTAAAAACTTAAAAGAATTTTCATATCGGGTCGGGCACGGTGGCTCAAGCCTGTAATCCCAGCACTTTGGGAGGCCGAGGCGGGTGGATCACAAGGTTGAGAGATCAAGACCAACCTGGTCAACATGGTGAAACCCCGTCTCTACTAAAAATACAAAAAATTAGCTGGGCATGGTGGCGCATGCCTATAATCCCAGCTACTCAGGAGGCTGAGGCAGGAGAATTGCCTGAACCCAGGAGGCGGAGATTGCAGTGAGCCGAGATCGTGCCATTGCACTCCAGCCTGGGTAACAAGAGCGAAACTCCGTCTCAAAAAAAAAAAAAAAAAAAAATTTTCATATCAATAGAACATTAACTGCAGTTGGCTCTTTCAATACCTATGTCCTCTTCCCTCTCCTGATTAGCCTGAAGTTGATATTCTGTGCATTCTTAATACATATTTATGATTCCATAGATAGTACTTTATATATTAGCCATTCCCTATTTTATCAGTGACAAAAAATTTGAGAAGAGACACAAATAATATTTGAAGTTATAGATCCAGTCATAGATGTAAGGAAAGTTATTAGAAGGAATCTGTAAAATATCAACTTAAGGGCCGGGCGCGGTGGCTCAAGCCTGTAATCCCAGCACTTTGGGAGGCCGAGGCGGGTGGATCACGAGGTCAAGAGATCGAGACCATCCTGGTCAACATGGTGAAACCCCGTCTCTACTAAAAATACAAAAAATTAGCTAGGCATGGTGGCATGTGCCTGTAATCCCAGCTACTCAGGAGGCTGAGGCAGGAGAATTGCCTGAACCCAGGAGGCGGAGGTTGCGGTGAGCCGAGATCGTGCCATTGCACTCCAGCCTGGGTAACGAGAGCGAAACTCCGTCTAAAAAAAAAAAAAAAAAAAAAATTAACTTAAGAGATCAAAAACACTGCTCTTCTTTTCTTGAAATGAGGGCACTAATTGATGGGGTAGAGGGAGGGTATAAAGGCATCACTAGAGCAGTGGTTCTCTCTGTATTAAAATCACCTGGGAGCTCTTTAAACATGCTCATTCTGGGCCCACAGATTAAAATCTAATTTCTCTGGCAAGGGGCCTAGGTGGCGGTATATTTTAAAGCTTCCTAGATGATCCCATTATGAAACCAAGGTAAAGAACAACTGCTTTAGACCTGCACTGTCCAATTCGATAGCCACTAGCTCCATGTGGCTATTTACAATTAAATTAACTGAAATTAGATTCAGTTCCTCATTCACAGTAGCCACATTTTAAGTGGTCAGTTGTCAAATTGTGCGGTAGCTAGTAGCTACGGTATTGGACAGTGCTAGACTCTATTTGCATGGGTAGAACAAAATTGACAATTGTTGATTACCACTAGTTAAAGAAATTAATAATGCAGTATGATCTTCACTTTTTATGTTTTCTGCCAATATAAGGGAGAGAAGAATATTCGCTTGTCAGCTGTTACAGTCCAAGCATTTTGCTAGGAAATTTATGAGAGTTATTTTAATTAATCCTTACAACAACCCATTGATGAATACATTCTTTCCATTTTAAGTAAAGTGAGGCCCAGAAAAGTGAAATGACTTATCTAAGCTTACATAACTAGACTGTGCTAGAACCATGGTTCCAACTGGCACTAAAGCTCATACAGATTTCATTATCAGGATTTCTACAATGTGCTCCTCAAAGTTACAAAACCACACACAATTGAAGATATTCAGCCATAAAAAGGAATGAAGTTATGATATACACTGCAACATGAAGGAACCTCAAAAACATTATGCTAAGCAAAATAAGCCAGACACAAAAAGACAAATACTGTATGACTCTCCATATATGAAATATCTAGAATAGGCAAATTCATAGAGACAGAAAGAATAGAATGGGGACTTATTGTTTAATGGATACAAAGTTTCTCTTATGAAAACCTTTGGAAATAGTGCTGCTAGTGAAACAGCATTGTGAATGTAACACCAATGACTTAAGCACCTGAAAATGGCTAAATTGGCATATTTTATGTTACATATATTTCACCACAGTTTATTCAATTTTTAAGTTACAAAATGATGTTGCTGCCTAATAAATTTGGCTAACACTGGATTAAACAGGTTTTCTAACTTTAAGATTTCACAAAGCTTCTAAGTATTGTGAAACTCCAAGAGGAGGATTTGGAGCACAGTTTTTCAAACTTACGAGATCCTCTCGTCTAGGAGTGTGTAGCAGAAGTGAACATATTTTATGAAATGCTGCACTAAGCCACATATTTCCCTATTATTTTCTATGGCTATAAATCATAACTTTGGAACAGAGTTGTTACCAATAAGGCTATCTTGGGACAGTTGGCTAAGTCAGGCATCATTACAAGTTATTTTGATATATCTTTTTTAAACTTCTAAGATACTGCAAGTACAGATGTGACAAAGGTGTATATTAGGAGATTTCTTTAATCACTTGTACTTTGAAGGCACTCAAAAGTCACCAAAACAGGGTACATCAGAATAACTGATTTTGTAGTGTAGGATTATAGAAAGTTAAGTGTCCAGTAACCTAGCCACAGGCTCCTAGGGTAGCCAGTGACCAAGTGTCTGTGTATTTATTGATTTAGCACCCCAAATTTTGATTTGCAGTTGGAGCCCCATTGATGTCATTACCATTTATCATGTATTTACTGGCTTCCCTAATAGCGTTAAAAAAAAAAAAAAAAAAAAAAAGGCCGGGTGCGGTGGCTCAAGCCTGTAATCCCAGCACTTTGGGAGGCCGAAGGCGGGTGGATCACGAGGTCAAGAGATCGAGACCATCCTGGTCAACATGGTGAAACCCCGTCTCTACTAAAAATTAGCTGGGCATGGTGGCGCGTGCCTGTAATCTCAGCTACTCAGGAGGCTGAGGCAGGAGAATTGCCTGAACCCAGGAGGCGGAGGTTGTGGTGAGCCGAGATCACGCCATTGCACTCCAGCCTGGGTAACAAGAGCAAAACTCCGTCTCAAAAAAAAAAAAAAAAAAAAACTCTGTGATTTATTAACATATTAAACCTAAAACTGTTAATCAGATTTCAAGCAAATCTTCCTTACTTTGGGTTCTGGGAAAATTTAGTTCAATGAACAGTTTGAGACAGAGCTGCATTCATGTTTTATGCATAATTAGATAGTGAAAAACATTTTATTTTCCACATATAAGTTGTCTTTATTATCACATACTGTTCA